AAATCCATCCAATGTAGTAAGCTGGGTTACACAATTCATCATACTACGTCAAAGTGCCGTGTCTTTGTGATGTCAGTTCGTTCAATACTCCCAACATCAGCAACAGAAAAACAGCAATACATTCAACAAGCTGCGAAGGATGACCAAGCACTACTGTCGGATAATAGACCAACAAATTGTGAACAGGTTCATCACTTGGCTGTGGAAGAGAAAAAGGTTGTTTCTAACTATTTAGCGCATTCATTCATAGAATACTAGCTCATGCCTTCGACTAAAAAGTGAGTAACGCAGCAATTTAATTAAAGCGTACAACACATCTTACCTGGAAAGCAAGCCAAGTAATTTGGTGTTTGCGATGTGCCAGCTTTCCCGGATCATCGTCCGGATCGGCACGCTTGGACACGTATTGTGACTCATCTGCTGTGACCGATTTCATGAGATCCAGACTAGCTCCGGCAGTCAAGTCATCTTGGGATACTTCGCAAATGGTTTGTTTGGATTTGTTCAATAGTTCATCCACAGGAATTGTACCGCGCACATCGGGCAGATTTAGCCGGGCTCGTTTACGCTATTATTCATTTAAGCGAAAACATTTGCATTATGCATTTGGAAAATGAGCAGATGACGAATGAGCCAATCAAATATGGGAAAAGCTGTTTTCAAAAAATGATAATTTTTTTCCGTGAGTTCAGGAATTTTCGATAGGTCGACAAGAGGTTCAAAACATTGATTTGTGGATTTATGCAGAGTACTGTCTGATCAGACAGCAGACTGTAGGACTATATCGAAATGGACCGATTGAGCACAAAGTTTTCAAAAGTAACAACCTACCCACCACCATCACCATCGTACAGCGCAGCGAACTTTGGTGATTGCTGCAAAACTCACAATGCATGTAAAGCTAGTGATTATATGTAAGGTGAGCAGGGATCGGACCTATTTTGAGGGGAGAGGAAGATGAACCTCCATGCCCTCCAGAGTCTCCAACGCACTAGTTGCCGAACCTTTCGGATTCCAACCTGGAAGGCGCGAAAGACAAGAGATTCCTGATTGCATTAGGGCTGAATAGAACAAAGGAAGCCATAGGATCGACCATAGCAGTTACGATTTATAATCGCTGTTGTTCGGTAAACCTTGACAAGGGACAACGGATCACCTAACAGCATGAATAGATCATAATAAACTATTTCAATCGGAGAGAGGCTCCGGATAAAGCATTGCCCTGAGGTAGGGGGTATTTGGAGTTTCACTGTGTACTGATAACAAAAATGGTATGTTTAGGAGAATAACTATAAAACTATACGAGAATACTAAGTGCACCTGATAGATTAGAGACGCATTACTTCAGCTCTGTGTTGAACAAGCAATATTTTCACTGAATTATACTATTATTACTATTGTTGTGAGACACTATTCACTTGTGAGTAGTACGCAAAAAGATGCGACCAGCAGTTTCTTTCAACGACCAAAAATGAACAAGACCTGTTGGAGCCAGCTGTTTAGTACGGTGAACACAAGAATGTGCATCTGTTAGTGGACCGTTACAGTACATATCCTGTGTGTTTGTGGGAATTTTGCAAACTTGTTCCAAATGCGATATTTTATTGTATGATTGATAATTTAAACAACCTGACTGTGAATGGCAATCAACGACTATCCTCGACCAGCACCATCTTGGGGAGTATTAACACCTTGATCACTATCGAAATGTCTGAAGTTGGCAAGAGGAAAACATTACACATAGTTCAAATCATGCACGGACGTAAAATTCAACTATCGACAGCTGTGTGTGAAGATCTTTTGTTTTTCTTAAACCCTGTGTATTTTTCATTTGATTCCTCTAACGCATCGGTATGTCGCTTCAAGAAACATTACCAGCGTGCGTTTTGGATCCAGAACTTTTGACAAATGAAATTCACCAACGTTCGGGACCACACTCAAACGGAGTCCCAAATTGCTAAGCTCGTTACAGTAGCACTGAACTCACGCACCGTTTCGAGTGAAATTACTTCCCCGGAGGTGACAGTGACACAACCAAAGATGAAGGACCTCGGGTTAACCGGAGCCGGATGGTACCAGGCGCGTCCCCGGGTTGTGGACAGGGAAATACCTTCACAGAAGAAGGTTAGCTGGGAATAAGTTGTCGTGTATCGCAACAAATAAGCAGTCGTTAGCAAACAGCAGCGGCACTACCAGGGAGTGTTGGGTTTCAGATTGGTCACCTGGCTCCTGTTTTAAAGCCACATGAGCTCAATGACGGTGTCGTGACAAAGGTCGATATGACTGGCCTTTTGAAACTTCTGAGGCGATGACTTACTTCCTGCTGCGTTGCAGTTCGCACTTGGTTGTGCAACGGCTAGAGGTGCGCCCTCAAAATAAAAAACGCTGCGTGACGCTGGGAACGTCTCTCGTAACGAGCTCCCAAAGAACTTTATGATCACGATCATGGAGCCGGCTTATCTATTGTGGATTGCAACTGCAGTTTTGAGTTCAACTACACCCGAGCGAGTTTGCATATTTTAAACCTGTATTGCCTTCCAATAATACGCATGTCTTGCAGTTGATTGCGCAGAGAAGTAAACATCGCACGACTTCCCAGTTACAGACTCAAAAGACCCCAGTTGAATCTTTGGTTGGCAAACAAATCGCAACAAAGTCGAACCCGAAAAATAAGTCGGTGGTGAACCACAAACCAAAGGAAGCTCACAAGATGGGCAGGTATCCGGATCGAAATGATCGTGCCTTGATACCATATGAAATTCGACAGTAGGGAAGGATTTGTCGAATGAAAAAGGAGAGGTGTGAGTCCAGACTTGCTCCAGTTTTCAAAATCAACAGTGAATCCGAACTAAAAGTGAATACAAAACGGATTCACGAGTCGTATTGTGAATGTTAGTGCTAATAACACAGCGATATCGATAGAGAATTATATTCGCCGACGTTTCGGTTACCGGGGATAACCTTTCTCAAGGCAGTTTTTACAATCAAAATAAAAACATTCACAATAAAACAACACATGGCGCATCGATTTTTTCGATACACTCCGAGCATCATTCGGTCACGATGTGTTAAAAAAAGAATTTATGAGTCGCTTGTCAAATTTCTACCGCCGAAACCTTTCGCGCCTCAATTCAAAACAGACTATGAAAACAGAGAACATTCCAGGACTGCACTAAGGAGGTCAGGAAAAATCCAACATTGTTCAGCTCAGATCCGGAAGGCATTGTTCAAACTATGCAAGGTTTATTATTTCACAATTTGTTATTTTTATCTGCGAAATGACTTCCCTACGAATTTGTGGAAGGAGAGGTGATGTTGTGGCCTACAACTGACTGATGCGTTTTTCATACATGCCTGTGACCAGATTGATTGATTGACTGGCTATTTTAATGCCGGCTTGACGACTTAACCTGTGGGTAACAGTCCATCAATTAGGACTTATTATTTCGCTGATGGACGGTTTACTTTGATGATAATCACTTAATGTTATACACCCACACTCAGTTTTGTTCCGATGGGATGGTATCCGTCGGATCACTTGATGCCGAGATTTCCTTTCTGAGAAAGAATGCTTTATAAAGTAGATAGCTAGGCTCACATTGGCGTGGGAACGTAAGTCTGGGGCATTCTTTTAACGAAAGCTGAAATATGATGGAAACATTATACTTACGAATAGCTAATGCTCGGTATCTCAAGGAACTTCATGATCATGATCTTGGAGACGGCTTATCGTTTCCAAGGAGCCAGCCGCAGTAAACCAGAAGTAGAGGGACCCAGTCTGAAAGAAGAATCCAGACTAATGCCATCACGTTCTTCATGACCCTATATCAAGTCATGAGTTGACCGATGTGGCGCTCCCCACAACAATTCTCAGAAAATGCAAACAGGAACAAGTTCGAAAGGCGATGAGAACACATACGTACCACTTAACACTAATGGTGTGAAACCCAAAGATAAAAGGATAACTTAGCGTATACAATATACATATATCTAGGACAACGAGAAGAGGTCGTACCTCCGATTAAGGAGCTGTCGTATCACCTTAGTCCTTCCTGCTACTTTTAGTTTTCGTGTCACTTATCTCGCACGTGGAGCTTTGAGCAGATTCCCAGTTGGCAACAATCATACCGCGGTAAAACACTCGATGTATGCAAAACGAGGATGAAAGTAGCTATAACTCTCCAAAGCGTTTCCGTGGGATATCACTTTGTTGCCTTGCAGTTCACAAGCGACGTGCATTCTGCAGACCTAAGACCTAATGGTGATGCGGGTAAATTTAGTATCTCATTTGCGTGATTCTCCCCTTTCATACTTCTCATATGTGTTCTTCTCATGCTACAGTTCACTCGGTAAGCTTCACGTCTCGTGCTCTTCGGGGCACTGGGGTGATAAGACTGAGCTGGAATGCAATGCAAAGAAAAAGAATCCGTATTGCATGCTGGAAAGTGGAAACCTCTGAAGACAGGATAGCAAACGGTTACCATGGGCACACTTGACGGCAATCATACCTATATTTCCCGCCCATAGAAAGTTCGGAAAACGAATACCGGAACCCAGTGCGTCAAAGTGCCGGGAATAAAGTAGACATTGGTTGTATCATAACTAGTGAGATAAGGAGTTTATGTAGAGGGTAACGGAGACGGACGAGCTATTATCGGCCTGTATAGCTGTATAGCTATATCCATGATAGAACTGGGCTTTCTGTGCTGAGAGTAATTAGTATCTCACTATGAAAGCAGTTTTCCGAGTCACCTGTGACCACGACGAAGCACTACTGAAGTTTGGTGTCAACAGAAATGCAGGGACATCGGGTAGAACCAACATTTTCAGTTCGGGGATAAACTAGAACTTCATAGCAAACATACTATTGGTTATAAACAATGACATCCCCAACACCAACATAACAATGCGCACACAAGTCGATTCAAGCATCTGGAATCGTGGTCAAAACTCCCTAAGAGCAACCATATGCGGATGATGATGATTGAGGATGAGGATGATGATGATGAGATTACGAATTACACTCGTAGGTGACATTACCACCCTAGTATGCAATCACATTCGTTGATGCTCACCAACTCTCTGAGTCAAGCGTCGGTTAGTAAGACTGATGCAGGTTGTTCCACGGGAGCAAGTGAACAGTAAACGCGGAATGAGATCACAGAAAATGGAGCGCTTTTTATTACACACCTAAGTGTGATGAACAACAGACGGGGCGAACCCAATAGTCATGAGGACTTGCTGTTCAATGGTGGTAACCGGCAACCTAAGCCCCGGGACTTGGAGTGGTGAACCGCAAAGTTCTCGATAGGTTAGGCGTGGTATTGAACCGTACGACAGCAGAGCTGCCTCCACCAAAGTCGGGTGGCAGTGGTGGGGCTCGAACCTCGGACCACAGGGTCCAAAGCACGCGGGTGACAGCGACTAAACCCCTGCGCCACCACCACCATTATATTTGCGATACAGTCCGAGGGACGGTTTGGATACGAGTGTGACACGTAAATTTGCAGCATGGAGCGTTTGACCGATCGCAGTTGCAAACGTTCCAGTAACTATCTCCATCATAGT